AAATTCCTTAATAGGACACCCATAGCATAAGAGTTAATAACAAGAATCAACAAATGGGACTTACGTAAACTAAAAAGTTTTTTCTCAGCAAGAGAAACAATAAGAGAGGTAAATAGGGAGCCTACATCATGGGAACAAATTTTTACTCCTCACACTTCAGATAGAGCCCTCATTTCCAGAGTATACAAAGAACTCAAAAAATTAAACAATAAGATAACAAATAACCCAATCAACAAATGGGCCAAGGACCTGAACAGACACTTCTCAGAGGAGGACATACAATCAATCAACAAGTACATGAAAAAATGCTCACCATCTCTAGCAGTCAGAGAAATGCAAATCAAAACCACCCTAAGATACCATCTCACTCCAGTAAGATTGGGAGCCATTATGAAGTCAAACAACAACAAGTGCTGGCGAGGATGTGGGGAAAAGTGTACACTTGTACATTGCTGGTGGGACTGCAAATTGGTGCGGCCAATTTGGAAAGCAGTATGGAGATTCCTGGGAAAGCTGGGAATGGAACCACCATTTGACCCAGCTATTGCCCTTCTCAGACTATTCCCTGAAGACCTTAGAAGAGCGTACTATAGGGATACTGCTACATCAATATTCATAGCAGCACAATTCACAATAGTTAGACTGTGGAACCAACCCAGATGCCCTTCAATAGATGAATGGATAAAAAAAAATGTGGCATTCATACACAATGGAGTATTACTCTGCACTAAAAAATCACAAAATCATGGAATTTGCAGGGAAATGGATGGCACTAGAGCAGATTATGCTAAGTGAAGCTAGCCAATCCCTAAAAAACAAATGCCAAATGTCATCTTTGATATAAGGAGAGCAACTAAGAACAGAATAGGGAGGAAGAGCATGAGAAGAAGATCACCATTAAACAGGGTCAAGAGGGGGGAGGGAAAAGAGAGAGAAGGGAAATTGCATGGTAAAGGAAGGATACCCTCATTGTTATACAAAATTACATATAAGAGGAAGTGAGGGGAAAGGGGAAAAAACAAGAGAGAGAAATGAATTACAGTAGATGGGGTAGAGAGAGAAGATGGGAGGGGAGGGGAGGGGGGATAGTAGAGGATAGGAAAGGCAGCCAAATACAACATACACTAGTATGGCAGTATCTAAAAAAGTGGATGTGGAATTGATGTGAATCTGCAATATGTATACAGGGTAAAAATGGGAGTTCATAATCTGCTTGAATCAAATGTATGAAATATGATATGTCAAGAGCTTTGTAATGTTTTTAACAACTAATAATAAAAAAGAATCAAAAAATAAATAAAAGAAGGAAAACCCCAGCTCAAATGTCAGTTCATTACACTGGCACACAAGTAGCAGTAAAGGTGTTTCCCTTCTAACAAAATTAGTGAGTGGAATAGATTTCTGAGTTAACAAGTCAGGTTAGTGAGAAAGGGCATCAGCATTTAGGGATTTTGGCTAATATTTCCAAAACAATAAGAAAGAGAACATTTCTAGGTTTTTCAATGTAAGCATTGTACAGGTTTTACTTTTTTACATTCTTATTTTGGTATCAATTCATATACCACAATATTAATTAGTGATAACAGAAAATCTAGTCATCAGAGCACACTTCACATTATTTTAAAACAGGCCTGGAGGGATAAAATCAGACAGAGCTCTTTGAAATATATACCTTCATAAATTCACTTAGACTTATGTCAGTTTTGTCAAATCTGAAAGAGGCTAAAAAAAGAGTCAATTAGGCTTGGAAATCCATCTGAGTTCATATGAGAGTCCTGGCCAGTGCAAAGCCAATTAACTTTCCCTAGTGAGAGAAGGTGTGATTCAGTAGACACACATAATTTTCTTCGTTTTAACTATAATCTTTCCAGTTGTTGGTGGTGGCACATGCCTGAAATCTGTTGAGAGGCTTAGTGTCTCCAGCAACGGGGATATGATGTAAAGAAAATTGGTAACCAAGAGGAAAATTAATTAGAAAACCTGTCCCTTTCACCTCAGATGAATGTGGCAAGAAAAAGTGGACAAATAATGGTGACTGCTGAGAAAACATGTTTCATAGTCTTTTTCTTTCCCTGGAATAAGACCATAGGGTCCAAATCTTATTTGAGAACTCAAGAAATGTTATGGTTTGGACGTGGGGTGTTCCTCAAAAGCTCACGTGTGATACAATGCAAGAAGGTTCAGAGGAGAAATGATTGGTTGTAAGAGTCTTAGCCAGTGCATTAATCAGTGCATTAATCCCCCTGATAGGGATTAACTGGTAACTGAAGTGGGAAGACTAAATTGGAGGACGTGGGAATTGAGGCATGGCTTTGGATACATATTTGTATCTGGCAAATGGAGTCTCTCTCTGCTTTCTGATCATGATGTCAGCCACTTCACTTCTCTCTGTTGCTTCCCTCTGCTGTGATGTTCTGCCTCACCTTGGGCTCTGAGGAATGGAGGCTGCTGTCTATGGATTGAGACCTCTGAAACTGTGAGCCCTCAAATAAACTTTTCCTCTTATGTAATTGTTCTGATTGGGTCCTCTTAGTCATAGCACAGAAAAAAGAAATGACTAAAACAAGAGCAAATCTAAAATCCATGGGTTTTTGTTCTATATCACTCTGTGGATATAGAAAGAAAAAAAAACTTAGTTTCTCCCCACTGTACTCTCACAACACAAAATGCTGTTGCTATCAAATGTGGAGGGTTTCCCCCCAAAGAAACCAAGCAAGTGATCAGATCTGCAGTGGACACACCAACTCTGTGTCCTCTAATTCAATTCAACTTTGACAGCATCTCACAGTTGACAGCATCAACTCTCACAGTTGGAGGTCTATGTTCTCAGTACTCTGACCCCACTTTTAGAAATCAATTACAAGCCCTAAGTTGTTTCACTCACGTTTCTGAGCCACTGGATATAAATTTGTCATGTGACCAGCATTTTCTTGATTGGTTGAGGCCCTGTTGGTCACTTCCAGTGGTCTGGCCACTTTCAAGTGGCTATAGATGGTGGCTCCAATCTTGAGAGTAGTAAAAATGCAGACAAATGTGTCTTCATGTGTGGGCGTGCCTTCCTACATCCCCAGGGATCGAGTTACCTTACCTATCCTTGTAACCCTGCCCCTCTTGACCTTTTCTGGATGGAAATTTCTAAGAACCAGAGTCCCCCCAATAAAAGACCACTCCAAAACGTGCTAGCTCTCTCTCACCAGCCTCTTGTGACATTCCTCGCTCTCCCATTTGGGGAGCTTGAGGCCGAGTGCAGAGAAGCCATCCTGGGGCTTGATTTTAAAGGTAAATTGTGTGTCTGTGTTTTATTTGATACCTTAGGAAATTCACTGGAATGACCTCTAGTTTAGCTGCCTGCGCTGGCTGCGGGCAGTAAATTAGAATTCCTATTAGAGTCTCCTCAAGTTCCATTAATTTTCTATATGACTCTCGGAACTCAGGGAAATTGTTACTTACATTCACTAGGTTATTATAAAAGATATGACAAAGGATACTGATGAATAACAGATGAAGAGATAGGTAGGGTAAGATATGGAAGAAGTATGGAACTCCTAGGCCCTCTCTGAGCAAGCACCATCCAGGAACCTCCATGTGATCAGAAGTCAACAAGTATCCTCAAACCCGTCTTGGGTGGTGTGTGTGTGTGTATAATTGATTAAATCATTGACCATTAGTGATAAACTTTAGACCCTCCACTACTTGTTGGAGATGGGGCTGAAAATTCTCAACCTTCTGATGCTTTGGTCTTTGTGAGAGGATCCATCCCGAAGTTTCCTAGAGGCTTCCAGCCATCAGTTACCTTATTATCACACACACAAAAAAAAACAGTCATCCATCATCACTGTGGAGATTCAAAGGATTTTAGGATTGGTATGTAAGGAAATGGAGACAAACACAACATATATTTTACAATATTACAACTGCATTTGTGACTTCAGAAGAAATTGTCTTTTAGTGTTCCCTCCACATCAAAACGAGGAAGCAGCCACATTTGAGCCACATCTATCCACTTGATGGATGGCATAGTTATGCAAGGTATGACTAGAGTTTAGTGCCACAGCTGTATGGTATATAAGGTATTTAGAAGTTCCTGTATACTCTGTAGAAATAGAGATATTAATTATGGTGTTGATCAGATGATGCCCAGGGGATTCTGAACATGGTCATAGTGATTAAATCAATAAACAGCATTTTCTAATCATAGTTTCTAAATGTGTCAACCCCTATACTTGTTGAAAAATATATAAATTAATAACTCCATTTCCTATATTTGTGTGATTAAACTATCAACTAAGGCATGGCAGCAAGTGCCTTGTCCCTATTCCTCCTTTTACCACTTAACCTTGACTAACACAAGTACAGTTATGCTTTGGTGCCCTGGGCCTCTGCAGCTCTCCATTCCTTTTGCTCAAAAATCTCAGATTTTGGAATCTCACTGTAGACCTCAGTAGCCTGAATGTGACTTTCAAATGCAGCTGTTTAGTGGTAGCCCTGGGTAACATATGTTTGTCTCCTACAAGTCAATATGCTTAAACTGAAGCAAGCCCATCTGGACCATCAAGAAGATGATATTCAATCTCAGTTTGCTTAACCAGGCATGGCACAGTATGCATATTGGTGCCACATAACTGTTTCTGGACGTATTACAACCAGGCTGTAATAGGTCTTTTGTTCTGTCCCTTACTTACTGAACTCATTTAACTTGATAGGCCAACTAGTGTGCTATGTATAAATGTTTAACTTTACTTTAGCATTGGTTTGGATAAAATGTTAATTCAGAAGATCCAATGGGCTGCATGTGTGCTTTAAGGCTTCTTTATGTCTCCATCTTCCCCTCTAGAACTGGAAAAGTCTACAATCCTGTATTTAGATTAGAGACAACGGTAAGTGTGAGAAGCAAAGGAAGGGGATTTTATTTTTGTATTTAAATATTTCAGCTACTGTGGCAATATAACTTCAAAGGAATATTTAGGACACATTGACATATTCTAAAGGCACACTCTTTATAACCAGAGGAAATTTGTTTTATTTAAATTCAACTTGTCAAAGTACAAATATCTTTGTACAACTTATGTTGTTGTTTTTAAAAATTTAATAGGTAGTAGTACATTTTATAAGTATTTCTCTGGATTTTTATTTTCTGCTTTCATAATCTACAATACAAAGCCATTTTAAAAGAACATATTGTAGAAATTCTAAAATTGAACATTTACCTGAAAAGTTGCTTTCATAAAGAGTTTTTCCAAAATTTCCCTTAATAGCTTTATATTTAAATGGAATAATTGGAAATAAAAATTTAGATCTAAAATACTATTCAAATAGCTATTTTTGTTACTCTATATTAATTTGAAAAAAAGTGTTTTACTACAATTATCCTTTTTTCAGTTGGATAAATATAATGTTAACAGAAAATCATGTGTTGGTGCATAAAAGATAGCTACAAAATGGACCATGGACTATGCATATAAAACATTTTGATGTTTCCATGTGTGAATATTGTGTAACATTTTCTCAATTTTAATGCACTTAAAATTGTTGGTTTTCAAACCCATTTAACTTAATGGTATGTGTTTACTGAGTTTACATAAATATTTGAGGAGAATAATACTTTTCTTGTAAGGGAGGACCTGATATACTGAAGCTGAAGTCACAATTGGTATCAATATGATAAACATTCACTGTTTTATGATGTCAATTATATATGTAACATCACAATAATATTTTACTGGTAACTAAATTAATATCACAGTATGGTAAGAACTATCAAATCTGAATGCATTTTCTGGTAAATAGTTACTGAAAAGAGTAATGAAGCTTGTGAAAATTTTGACATACTGTGATCAGCATAACAAATTATAACAGTGCACCATTTTTTAGACTTGACACAGGAAATATTTTCATCTTGAGAAATGTAAGATATAATATCATTATTTCAGTGTGGTTTGAATAAGACTAGTGTCTTGATGAAAATCATATTCTGTATTTTAAGCTTCAGGCATTATTTTATATTGTTATATTTTGGATAATAGAGTACCTTTTTAAAAAATAAAGTGTTTTTCACTTGTCAGGCTCTTAATTTGAAAATTCTTAATGCTTATATTATCTTCACACTTTGATCACTAACAATTTTCATTAAGTATTTTACCATTTTATACTAATGAAGTTAAACCTAGCCTATTGGATTTCTCTATATTATTAACTATGACAAAATATGCACTTAATATTTGTCTACAATTCATATTTAAAACTTATGTCGGCTTCAAAAATGAGAGCAATTCTAAGTATATATTAGAATGACAAAACAAATTTCGAGTTTGCTTATTAATTTTAGAAAAAAAAAAACATATTACTTCTTTCTCCCTTTTTTTCTACTATGCTTCTTGCAGTTATCCAGTTTCATTCTATTTGATAAAGGTAGCTTTAGGGCAGCTTCACCACCACAACACATGCACCAGCTCTTCCAATATTAACAGGCACCTCCTAAAACAAAAACATGAAAAGAAATAAGGTTTGAATTCTGTCTATAGCATAACATAGAATGTTGGGACTGAGAAAAGCGATTATTTTGATCTAACTTTCACCTTACAGAAAGATAAGAGAAACTATAGACCAGATAACAGTGTAGCGTAGGGAAAATAAAATAGATTTTAGAATGGCATAAACCTGAGTTTGTGGATTAAGTTATCTTGGGTAAGTTTCACCTCTCTGATAATTTTCATACTTGAAAACTTGCTGAGAATAACACTAACACTTCAATATTTTTGAAGGGTTAATAAAATTATTAATGAAAATAATGTATCATATATATTTGTAAATCTACTCCCTGGTATTTATTTCCCTATTTTCATTATCACACAATATAACAGTGACAACCAGAAACAGAATGGGGTTCTCTTAGCAACTGGTCTATTATCTTCAGGAAATTCAATTCCATAAGTTTAGTCAAACATTGTGATTATTGTATTTGAACTAAAACCTTATTTGCTACTTTTTTTCCATCTCTGATTGGTACCAAGCTTTGCTAAAATAAGAAGTTACCTACATGGTAGGGTGTGAGACTCTTCAAATTTTTGGAGGAAGGAGAAGAAAACCCATTATCACTTGTCATTATATCAACAAATATTTATTTAAAGCACAACAAAATGCAATGTGGCATGAAGTCAGTTTCATGCAAGGTAAAGTTGAGTTCTAAATAGGAGATTTGCCAGTTTGCATTGATGGTAAAGAGTTAATCCTATATAATTTTTATCAACCCACAATTTACTTGGCAGAATATAAAAATATATTTTGGGATCAATTTAGGGCTAGTCACTGGCAAAATGGTCAAAAGAGTCACATTTTTCTTTACAATCTCCAAGATGTACTTTCAGTTTTCTTTTTTTGCATCCGTGGAATTTGTTCTATTAGATCCTCAGCTCTTTTGAGGAGTTTAATTCTGGTCTCTTGCTGTGTACTAAATTCCTTGAATGACTGAAGTTAGGAGTATTGCCATTTACACAGTCTCTATGAGGAGAAGATTGAAAGCTTTTCTTCTAGTCACCAACTGTCTTATTAGGGCAGGCATTGTGGAATAAGATATTGATCATTGTTTCTCAACTTAAAATACAAACATAATATGTTAACCAGAGTGAAGCTCTTGAATTATTCAATCTGATTCACTGCCTTATTTTCTTTTTTCCCCCAGTACCAGGGACTGAAGCCAGGGATGCTTAGCCACTGAGCCACATCCCTAGTCCTTTTTCATATCTTATTTAGAGACAGAGTCGAAGTTGCTTAGGGCCTTGCTAAATTGCTGATGCTGTCTTTGAACTTGTGATCCTCTTGTCTCAGCCTCCAGAGCCACTGGAATTACAGGCATGTACCACCATGCCCAGCTGATTCACTTCCTATCTGTGAGAGTAATGCTTCCGTTGAGTCAAGCCTTTTCTCTTTCATATAAGTGTGCTGTATCCTAGTAATGATCTGCTAAAGCAACTAGCAATTCTCTAAATCAACTATAAGTTCTCTAAGACATAGATAAAACACATACTATCAATCTCAACAAAAGGCCAGGTTAGGTCTTAGAAAGGAAAAGAATGAAATTAATTCCAAAAACAAATTTTAAATTAATTTACTAAAATTGAAACATACTAATTTGAATATTTTTATGAGAGTACCTCTGTCCATTCATTTTTCTGAGCATCATATGACTCAACAGTGTTCAAATAAGTGTGTCCATCATATCCTCCAACCACATACAGTTTGTCTCCAAGGGGACAGACAGCAACAGCATCTCGAGGAACACTCAGAGGTGCCACTGTAGACCATGAATCATGTTTTGGATCATATCTTAAGAGATTTAGGAAGACAATTCAGAGAGAAAATGCAATATTGTTAAAATATAAAATAATGGGCATTAATAAAATGCACATTTATCTAAAACACAAAATTAAAAACACATTATAAATATCAAGTGTTAGTTTGCTATTAGTGTTAAGGATACATACATAACAGAATTCTCAGCAGCCACCAGAGGTCTCTCAAAGCATATCAGAGAAGTGTTTCCTAAATACCATGAATTTCTTTATTCTGTACTCAGATTATCTTTGAAGAAAATTCACATGTTGGAACCATAGCATATACAAAAATTGCCCACTCTCTCATTTAGTGTTTTGGTTGGGGAGATATTTAATTTCATATTCTTTGTTCATGAAAATTATTCTTGAGAAGCTAATCCTGATTACATGAAAGCTCACATTTCAAAGTAAACCTAAAGACAATTGTTGTTTTTTAAAAATTTTACTTTTGCTGAATAAAATGTAGTATCTTGCTTTTAATATTATTTACACTTAGAATGAGTATAATTTTAATCCTGTTTTTTTTTTTTTTTTCTTCTGAGGGTACTTAGTCAACTATACAGGATTCTAGGAGCTTTTTTGTTTGTTTGTTTGCTTCTATTTTAGTCTAACCCCTATATCAAGACATTTTCAGTATGCAAACGAGAATTCAGTAAGTAATATTAATTAAAATACTTTCTAGGAATTGTTTCTTAAACTTTAAAGCCTGTTTAAAACACACATAACACTAAGACTTAAAAGGGATAAAAATTAAGAAAATTCACAAAACTATACTTGGGAATTCTCTAATTTTATGTTGACCTAGTTATAAAGGCCCAGTGAAAGATTTATTTATGGTTTATTTTATAAACTAAACTTTCATTTATCATCTATTAATGTATTTATATATTCATATTGTCTCCTCTTTTAATATTGTATATATATATATATATATACAGAGAGAGAGAGAGAGAGAGAGAGATACCATGCCCTTTTTATTTATATTTTTATGTTTGTTTTAATTTTTATTTGTTATTTTTAGTTATACATGACAGAATGCATTTTGACAGATTGTACATATACAGTTTATAATTTATTCTATTTAGGATCAGACTCTTGTGGTTGCACATGATGTGGAGTTACCCTGGTCATGTATTCAAATACAAGGCTAGGAAAGTATGACCTATTAATTCAGTGTTTCCTAATCCCCTTTCCCACCCTTATATACATTTTCTTTTGTCTAATCCAATGTTTTACTCTTATCCTTCTCCCCAACCTCCCCTGTTTGGGGTTAGTATCCACAAATTAGAGAACATTTGGCCTTTGTTTAGAATTAGAATATTTCACTTAGCATGATAGTTTCCAGTTCCATCCTTTCACTGGCAAATACCATAATTTCATTCTTCTTTATGGCTGAGCAATATTACATTGTGGACATATACCACATTTTCTTCATCCATTCATCCATTGATGTTTGTTGTTTCCATTGCTTGGTTATTGTGAGTTGAGCTGTTATAAACATTGATGTGGCTGAATCACTGTAGTATTCTGTTTTTAAGTCCTTTGGGTATAGACGGAGGAGTTGGATAACTGGGTCAAATCGTGTTCCATTCCAAGTTTTCTAAGGAATCTCTATACTGCTTTCCAGATTGGTTGCACCAATTTGCAGTCCCACCAGCAATATATGAGTGAACCTTTTTCCCCCACATCCTCACCAATATTTATTGTTACTTGTATTCTTAATAATTGCCATTCTGAGAGGATTGCTGAGCTATATCCATAGCTATTTTTATTTATTTTATTTTATTTTTTATGTTTTGAGACAGGGTTTCACTAAGTTGTCTAGGGCCTCACTAATTTACTGAGTCTAGCTTTGAACTTAAATCCCCCTGCCTAGTCTCTGGAGTCACTGGGATGTGCACTACCATGCCCTGCACCTTTAATTATATTCTTTTTTTAAGAGAGAGAGAGAGAGAGAGAGAGAGAGAGAGAATTTTAATATTTATTTTTTTAGTTTTTCGGCAGACACAACATCTTTGTTTGTATGTGGTGCTGAGGATCGAACCCGGGCCGCACGCATGCCAGGCGAGCGCGCTACCGCTTGAGCCACATCCCCAGCCCTTTAATTATATTCTAAATCATCTGATATCAGCTTCTATCTGAAGTTGACCTCATATCCAAGAATATAATTAATACCATTAGAAAACAGTAAGTAACTAAGACAATTTCAATGCCCATTAAAATTTATTGTTATGTAGTATATCAACTTGATTTCTGATATAATATGACCCACAACCAGAATATCCATAGTTATTTGCTTTAGCTACGTGGATCTTCGAAACACCAGCTATTATTAACTGAGGCTGCATTCAGTAACACTCAATTTAAAAACATGTAGGAATGGTGAACCAGAACTCACCAAAGGAATTCCTTACAGATTTGCATCCAACAACCTAAGACTTTTCTGCATGTTTATAACTAATAACCCAAATCTTGCTCATGTTATTATTACCTGGATATTGCTAATAAACATTTCACCATAGTTTTTAAGCACTAATAAAATTTTAAAATAACAATCATTTTCCATGGATTCGTTTGTACTTTGGATCAATGTTTTCCCTAATATTATATTAATATTATGATTATATTATAGATGTTTTAGTGTTGTCTACAATGTCATAAAAAGACTATAGAGGGCTAGAGTTGTGCCTCAGTGATAGAGTGCTTGCCTAGCACATGTGAGGCACTGGATTTAGATTCTCAGCACCACATAAAAATAAATAAATAAAATATAGGTATTGTATCCATCTACAACTAAAAACTACTTTAAAAATTTGCAGACACGTGGTTCTTAGGTACAGAATCATAAATATTTTACATAAAAATATAATCCAATTCCTCAGTACAGCTAAAATAAAAAACTAGAGATATATATTTTATGACAAGTTTGTATATGTATTTTTCATATATACATATATTACATATATGTATATGTAAATTTTCTGACAGGCAGAAATTATGAATTGTAGATGTATTTAACTTTTTGAGGTTTACAAAACGAATCCATAAATTATCCAGGTAATTTAAAATTTCTACACTTATTTTAATTTATTTCAATATTCCTTTAACAACTGTATCTACTACATATTTTGGGTCTTTCTAAAAGGAGACCATGATTCCTTCTAGCCACACACACACACAATGCATACACACAATTCCTAAAATTTGATAATTTTATCATGAAATTCTGTATGAATAAAAGAAGAAATTATTGACTTGAATTCTGTCAAATGTCCTAATGCAATATAACAAATTTGATTTTACACCAAAATGGAAAGTCAAATATGATTAGTTTCATACATTTACAAACTCCACATGTATGAAAAATCCTTCTGCTACTGTTTCTTATTTAACAAGAGAAGGCCTCAGCTTCTACATCTATAAAGTGATAGGGATACACTAGATCTTAAAGGTCTTTTCCACTTTAAACTATAATAATTCCAGTGTTGTTGCTGATGGATTTAAACAATGAACACAGACATAAGCCTCATCCTTAAATATAAAGAAAATTCAATGTGACATTTTTGTAATTTTTTATCTTGATATGTATTATCATTAAAAATTGATGTCAGTAATTTGGTAGGAAATCTATCTATCTATCATCTATGTACCACTCCAGCCAACAATAGCAGGACATGTAAGTGACTATGGAATATCATACAGAATAGAGTATGTTTTAGGAGACGAAGTAGATATTAATAAGTCGAAAACATTAAAAATTTCCAAGATATTCTTTTCTGGTCACAAAGAAAATAAACTGCAAATTAAAAAATAAAACTGAAAAATCCATGAACCTGTGGAACAAATGAGTCAAACCAAAAGTCACAAAGAGCCAGGTGTGGTGGTGCACACCTGTAATACCTGTGGTTTGGGAGATTGAGGCAGGAAGATCACAAGTTCAAAGCCAGCTCAGCTTCAGCAATTTAGCAAGGCCCTAAGCAACCATGTCTCAAAATAAACAACAAAAAGTATGGGAAATGTTACTCAGTGATAAAGCACCACTGGATTCAATCCCCAGTGCCATAAACCAAAGTAATCACAAGAAGAACTATAAAATACTTTAATAGAAATAAAAAGGAAAACATGATATACAAATCCTATGTGATACAATGAAAACAGTGCTATGTGGAAAATTTATAACTAAAAATACTGTATTTAAACCAAAGTTTGCAAATCAACAAACTTTACATTTAAAAACTAGAAAAAAAGTAAGCAAACTAAACCCAAAGCACAGAAGTAAGGAAATAATATAGAGCAGAAATAAATAATATAGCCAACAGAAAAACTAAAGAATATTAATAATGAATGAAACAAAAAGTTGTTTCTTTTTTTATTATTTTTCCTTTTGGCACTAAGGATCCAACTTAGGGGTGTGTTATCACTGGTCTCCATCCGCAGTCCTTTTTATTTTGAGTCAGGGTCTCACTAAGTTGCTAAATCTGGCCTCAAACTTGAAATCCTCCTGCCTCTGCCTCCTGAGTAAGTGGGATTACAGATGTATGCTACCATGCTTGGCAAGTGTTGGTTCATTGAAATGATAAAAATGTTAATCAATTTTAATTCTTTTATAATAAGCAAATAGAGAAAATATTCACTAGAATCAGTGAAATAAGTGACATCAATACTAATTTTACAGAAAAATGAAATAATAAAAAATTACTAGGAGGGGCTGGGGTTATGGCTCAGTAATAGAGTGCTTGCTTAGCATGTGTGAGGCACTGCGTTCTATTCTCAGCACCACATATAAATAAATAAAATAAAGGTCCATTGATAAATACAAAAATACATTAATAAATGAAATTAGTATGAATGATTTTACTCCAATAATTTGGATAAATTAGATGAAATGGGAAAATTCCTAGAAATATACAACCCACTGAAATTGCATCATGCAGAAGTAGAAAATATGAATAGATTAACAACAAAATGAGACTCAGCAAATAATCAAAAATTTTTCAACAAAGAAATCTCTAGGATTATATTGCTTTCTGAAAATTTAAAGGAATTTAACATTAATCCTCAAATGCCCAAAAAACTGAATAAAAAGTAATAATTCTAATATCTATCAGTTCTACATAAGTTTTATGAAATCAAAAATACCCTACAAGGAAAGAAAACTACAGAACAATATCTCTAATAAATATTGATGTAAAATTTTCAACATGATACTAGGAAACCAAATTATACAACCTATTGAATAACTGTAACCAAGTGAAATTTATTTCTGGACTTCAAGATGTTTTAATATACAAAAAACTCCCAGTATAACAAAAATGAAGGAAAATATATACATGATCATCTCAATTGATGTAGAAAAAAGTATGGGTCAAAATTAATCACATTTTCATGATAACATACTCATAAAACCAGAAGAAATACACCACAATATAATAAAGACTATATATGGAAAACCCAGAGCTAATATTGTATTTAATTATAAAATGAATTTCTTATATGGTCAGGAACAAGAAAAGGTGCTCATTTTCAACAGTTCTGCTCACTGCATTTCTGGAAATTCTAGCCAGAGCATGAGAAGGAGAAGAAGAAGGAGAAGGAGGAGGAGGAGGGGGAGGGGAGGGGGAGGGGGAGGAGAAGGAGAAAAGGCATCCAAACTGGAAAATAAGAAATTACAAATGAATGAAAAGATACCTCATGCTTCTGGATTGGAGGAGTTAATATTGTTTATGACGCCAAAGTACACAGTTTGAACAACAGATCAATTACAATCCCTTACAAATCATGAATCACATTTTTTTGCAGAAATATAATAATGCATTATAAGTCCACATGATATAACAAGGGATGATTCATAATACTGAAAAACAAAGTTGGAAATCTCACACATTATGATTTCAAAATTCTCTGTAAAGTTACACTAATGCAGTCAGTGTGGTGTTGCTATAAATACATAAAAGACCAGTGGAACAGAATGGAGATCTCAGAAAACAATCCCCACATTCATAGTCAAATAATTTTGGGCAATAGAGTCAAGACCATCTAATGAGGAAGGGGAGATTTTTCAGCAAATTCTGATGGGAAAACAGGATATAAGAATGCAAAAATAAAGTTGGATTTCTATTCTGCACATGAAAATTAGCTTAAATGGATCAAAGAGCCAAAAACTATAAAATTCTAAGAGGAAAACATAGATGAAAAGCTTACTGACATTGTATTTGGCAAGCAATTCTTAGATATGGCACCAAAAATATAGTTTAAAAGAATACAAATAGATAAATAGGATTCCATCAAAATTTAAAATGTTTTGCATCACAAACATTATCAATATGGTGAAAAGGAAATACAATGGAGAAATTATTTGAAAATCACATATCAGACATGCAATTAATTTCAACAATATGTAAAGAATTCTTTTACCTGAATAACAAAAATAAACATCCTTATTTTTAAAATTGCAAAGCACTTCAACAGACATTACTCTAAAAAAAAATACCCCAAAGTCTAATAGCATCTGATAAGATGCTCAAAATCAATAATCCTTAGGAAAATAGAAATTACAACCACAATGAGACGATACTTCACAACCATTGGGATGGCTATTGTTTAATAAATAATATGTAAGTAAGAAACTATTAGATATAATTACTTATTATGATTCAATATTAATGCTTCCCACAAGTAAAATATTAGTTTTCTTCCTTAAGTCTTTTCTTACTACAGTTTATGCTTCAATACCATAGTTGGATAAATTTCATCCAAACTGCTTTCTTTATGATATTTCAATTCCCTCATATTTAAATATTCCTTTGTCTACAAGATCAAGTCCCAAAATGTCTACTTTGTTATTTTAGGTCATATGACAATCTGCTATTCACAAATTGCCTTTTCAAATTATATTTCAACCCAAACTTTTTGCTCTCATTTACAAAACTTTCTCCTTTTACCTCCTTGGCCTTTTCCTAGACCAGAAATTCCCACCTACTTTGGTAGAACTACAAAGTACAGGTTATTTTCAGCAACATACCACACTATTCACCCAATGAATGTCTCCCATTCAAAGAACTTACCTATGGGAAAGGAAATACTTATTGCAATAGAATCAACATTCTGAAAACTATTAACACCTTTCTATTGGAGTTTTCCCTGTATATTTTGAGGAAGTAAAGTCTTTATACTTTTGATGACTGATCTGATTTTAGAAATTATAAACTTAATTTCATTTGATTCTGGTAAATGAATTGACTGATGTAGCTTAGGATACAATTTCCTTATTCTTTCATCACTTTTGTCTCTATTTGTGTGATTATCACACAGTAAGATATCATACTTTTAAGTTTTTATGCTGACTACAAAATGCATGAGGAGGATTTTTTCCAAAATATTTTGAGTGTAAGAGCAAGTAGAAGCCAGCCAGAGTGGCACATGCCTGTAATCCCAGTGTCTCGGGACACTGAGTCAGAAGGATGGTGAGTTTAAAGCTAGCCTCAGCAATTTAGCAAGACCCTAGTAACACAGTGAGACCCTGTCTCTAAATAAAATATAAAAAAAGGGCTGGGGATGTGTCTTAGTAGTTAAGTGCCCCTGGGTTCAATCCCCAGTGCTGAAAAAGGACTAATCCACTGGGAAAAAAAAAAAAAGATTAACAATTATTTGGAAGATTACTTTCTTATAGTTTAAAAATCTTTTTATTTCTGAAACAATGAAATAACCAAATGATCCCACACAAAAATAAATAGAAACAATTTACCTTTCCACACAGTCAGAAAGCCTGGAGCAATGGTTAGAAGCAGGGGCATCATGACCCCCTACAACATATAAGAATCCATTGTATGTTGCAACTCCCACACCTCCTCGTCTTTTGGACATTGGAGAACACAGACTCCACTTGTTAGTATGTGGGTCAAAATATTCCATTGATTTGAGGCAGGAACTTCCATCACGTCCACCAATAGCATATAACCTAGAAAAAATATAATTGTACATACGTGTGTGTGTATAAACAAAGCGCATGCATAGAAATGAAAGCAAAATAACCTCATATAAAGTAATTCGATTTTCTGACATTTCTGCTTTCATATTCTAAAGTCCCTAAATATTTTTTTTTTTTTTTTTTTATTGTTGGCTGTTCAAAACATTACATAGTTCTTGATATATCATATTTCACAATTTGATTCAAGTGGGTTATGAGCTCCCATTTTTACCCCATATACAGATTGCAGAATCACATCAGTTACACATCCATTGATTTACATATTGCCATACTAGTGTCTGTTGTATTCTGCTGTCTTTCCTATCCTCTACTATCCCCCCTCCCCTCCCCTCCCCTCCCCTCCCCTCCCCTCTTCTCTCTCTGCCCCCTTTACTGACATTCGTTTGTCCCCCTTGTATTATTTTTCCCCTTCCCCTCACTTCCTCTTGTATGTACTTTTGTATACCTCTGAGGGTCTCCTTCCATTTCCATGCATTTTCCCTTCTCTCTCCCTTTCCCTCCCACCTCTCATCCCTGTTTAATGTTAATCTTCTTCTCATGCTCTTCGACCCTACTCTGTTCTTAGCTACTCTCCTTATATCAAAGAAGACATTTGACATTTGTTTTTTAGGGATTGGCTAGCTTCACTTAGCATAATCTGCTCTAATGCCATCCATTTCCCTGTAAATTCTATGATTTTGTCATTTTTTAATGCAGAGTAATACTCCATTGTGTATAAATGCCACATTTTTTTTATCCATTCATCCATTGAAGGGCATCTAGGTTGGTTCCACAGTCTAGCTATTGTGAATTGTGCTGCTATGAACATCGATGTAGCAGTGTCCCTGTAGCATGCTCTTTTTAGGTCTTTAGGGAATAGACCAAGAAGGGGAATAGCTGGGTCAAATGGTGGCTCCATTCCCAGCTTTCCAAGAAATCTCCATACTGCTTTCCAAATTGGCTGCACCAATCTGCAGTCCCACCAGCAATGTACAAGTGTACCCTTTTCCCCACATCCTCGCCAGCACTTGTTGTTGTTTGACTTCATAATGGCTGCCAATCTAACTGGAGTGAGATGATATCTTAGGGTGGTTTTGATTTGCATTTCTCTGACTGCTAGAGATGGTGAGCATTTTTTCATGTACTTGTTGATTGACTGTATGTCCTCCTCTGAGAAGTGTCTGTTCAGGTCCTTGGCCCATTTGTTGATTGGGTTGTTTGTTCTCTTATTGTCTAATTTTTTGAGCTCTTTGTATACTCTGGATATTAGGGCTCTATCTGAAGTGTGAGGAGTAAAAATTTGTTCCCAGGTTGTAGGCTCTCTATTTACCTCTCTTATTGTATCTTTTGCTGAGAAAAAACTTTTTAGTTTGAGTAAGTCCCATTTGTTGATTCTAGTTATTAACTTTTGTGCTATGGGTGTCCTATTGAGGAATTTGGAGCCCGACCCCACCGACTGTAGATCGTAGCCAACTTTTTCTTCTATCAGACGGCGCGTCTCTGATTTGATATCAAGCTCCTTGATCCATTTTGAATTAACTTTTGTGCATGGCGAGAGAAAGGGATTCAGTTTCATTTTGTTGCATATGGATTTCCAGTTTTCCCAGCACCATTTGTTGAAGATGCTATCCTTCCTCCATTGCATGCTTTTAGACCCTTTATCAAATATAAGATAGTTGTAGTTTTGTGGATTGGTTTCTGTGTCCTCTATTCTGTACCATTGGTCCACCCGCCTGTTTTGGTACCAGTACCATGCTGTTTTTGTTACTATTGCTCTGTAGTATAGTTTGAAGTCTGGTATCGCTATACCGCCTGATTCACACTTCCTGCTTAGCATTGTTTTTGCTATTCTGGGTCTTTTATTTTTCCATATGAATTTCATGATTGCTTTCTCTATTTCTACAAGAAATGCCGTTGGGATTTTGATTGGCATTGCATTAAACCTATAGAGAACTTTTGGTAATATCGCCATTTTGATGATGTTAGTTCTGCCTATCCATGAACAGGGTATATTTTTCCATCTTCTAAGATCTTCTTCTATTTCTCTCTTTAGGGTTCTGTAGTTTTCATTGTATAAGTCTTTCACCTCTTTTGTTAGGTTGATTCCCAAGTATTTTATTTTTTTTGAAGATATTGTGAATGGAGTGGTTGTCCTCATTTCCATTTCAGAGGATTTGTCGCTGATATACAGGAATGCCTTTGATTTATGCGTGTTGATTTTATATCCTGCCACTTTGCTGAATTCATTTATTAGCTCTAATAGTTTCTTTGTAGACCCTTTTGGGTCTGCTAGGTATAGAATCATGTCATCTGCAAATAGTGATAATTTAAGTTCTTCTTTTCCTATTTTGATGCCTTTAATTTCTTTCGTCTGTCTAATTGCTCTGGCCAGTGTTTCAAGAACTATGTTGAACAGAAGTGGTGAGAGAGGGCATCCCTGTCTTGTTCCAGATTTTAGAGGGAATGCCTTCAATTTTTCTCCATTCAGAATGATGCTAGCCTGAGGCTTAGCATAGATTGCTTTTACAATATTGAGGTATGTTCCTGTTATCCCTAGTTTTTCTAGAGTTTTGAACATAAAGGGATGCTGTACTTTGTCGAATGCTTTTTCCGCATCTATCGAGATGATCATATGGTTCTTATTTTTAAGTCTATTGATGTGGTGAATAACATTTATTGATTTCCTTATATTGAACCAGCCTTGCATCCCAGGGATGAATCCTACTTGATCATGGTGCACAATTTTTTTGATGTGCCTTTGTATCCGAGTGGCCAGAATTTTATTGAGGATTTTTGCATCCAAGTTCATTAGAGATATTGGTCTGTAGTTTTCTTTCTTTGAAGTGTCTTTGTCTGGTTTAGGTATCAGGGTGATGTTGGCCTCGTAGAATGAATTTGGAAGTTCTCCCTCTTTTTCTATTTCCCGAAGTAGCTTGAAAAGTATTGGTATTAGTTCCTCTTTAAAGGTTTTGTAAAACTCTGCTGTATACCCATCCGGTCCTGGGCTTTTCTTAGTTGGTAGTCTTTTGATGGTTTCTTCTATTTCCTCAATTGATATTGGTCTGTTTAGGTTGTCTATATCCTCCTGACTCAATCTGGGCAGATCATATGACTTAAGAAATTTATCTATGCCTTCACTATCTTCTAATTTATTGGAGTATAAGGATTCAAAATAATTTTTGATTATCTTCTGTATTTCTGAAGTGTCTGTTGTGATATTGCCTCTTTCATCCCGTATGTTAGTGATTTGAGTTCTCTCTCTTCTTCTCTTCGCTAGCATGGCTAAGGGTCTGTCGATTTTGTTTATTTTTTCAAAGAACCAACTTTTAGTTTTGTCAATTTTTTCAATTGTTTCTTTTGTTTCGATTTCATTGATTTCAGCTCTGATTTTAATTATTTCTTGCCTTCTACTTCTTTTGCTGTTGTTTTGCTCTTCTTTTTCTAGGATTTTGAGATGAAGTATGAGATCATTTATTTGTTGTTTTTTTCTTTTTTTAAGGAATGAACTCCAAGCAATGAATTTTCCTCTTAGAACTGCTTTCAATGTGTCCCATAGATTCCGATATGTTGTGTCTGTGTTTTCATTAATCTCTAAGAATTTTTTAATTTCCACCTTGATGTCTTCTATAACCCATTGATCATTCAGTAACCTATTGTTCATTCTCCAAGTGATATATTCTTTTTCCTTCCTTCTTTTATCGTTGATTTTCAGTTCCATTCCATTATGATCAGATAGGATGCATGGTATTATCTCTACTCCTTTGTATTGTCTAAGAGTTTCCCTGTGACATAATATATGATCTATTTTTGAGAAGGATCCATGTGCTGCTGAGAAAAAAGTGTAACTGTTTGATGTTGGGTGGTATATTCTATATATGTCAATTAAGTCTAGGTTATTAATTGTGTTATTGAGTTCTATAGTTTCCTTATTCAACTTTTGTTTGGAAGATCTGTCCAGTGGTGAGAGAGGTGTGTTGAAGTCTCCCATGATTATTGTATGGTGGTCTATTAGACTCTTGAACTTGTGAAGAGTTTGTTTGATGAACATAGCTGCACCATTGTTTGGGGCATATATATTTATGATTGTTATGTCTTGTTGGTGTATGGTTCCCTTGAGCAGTATGTAGTGTCCCTCTTTATCCCTTTTGATTAACTTTGGCTTAAAATCTATTTTATTTGATATGAGTATGGATACTCCTGCTTGTTTCCGAAGTCCATATGAGTGATATGATTTTTCCCAACCTTTCACCTTCAGCCTATGTATGTCTTTTCCTATCAAATGCGTCTCCTGTAGGCAGCATATTGTTGGGTCTTGTTTTGTGATCCATTCTACTAGCCTGTGTCTCTTGATTGGTGAGTTTAAGCCATTAACATTTAGGGTTATTATTGAGATATGGGTTGTTCTTCCAGCCATATTTGTTTATTTATGTTACTAAACATGGTTTGTTTTCCACTTTGATTATTTTCCCCCCTTTAGTGTCCTACCTCCCACTGTTGGTTTTCATTGTTATTTTCCATTTCCTCTTCCTGTAATGTTTTGCCAAGGATGTTTTGAAGAAATGGTTTTCTAGCTGCAAATTCTTTTAACTTTTGTTTATCGTGGAAGGTTTTAATTTCATCTTCCATCCTGAAGCTTAATTTCGCTGGAAACACAATTCTTGGTTGGAACCCATTTTCTTTCAGTGTTTGAAATATGTTATTCCAGGATCTTCTAGCTTTCAGAGTCTGTGTTGAAAGATCAGCTGTTATCCTGATTGGCTTACCCCTAAATGTGATCTGCTTCCTTTCTCTTGTAGCTTTTAATATTCTCTCCTTGTTCTGTATGTTGGGCATCTTCATTATAATGTGTCTAGGTGTGGGTCTCTTATGATTTTGCACATTCGGCGTCCTGTAGGCTTCTAGGATTTGGGGTTCTGTCTCATTCTTCAAGTCTGGGAAGTTTTCTCGAATTATTTCATTGAATAGATTGCTCATTCCTTTGGTTTGAAACTCTGTTCCTTCCTGTATCCCAATGACTCTTAAATTTGGTCTCTTGATGTTATCCCATATTTCTTGGATGTTCTGCTCATGGTTTCTTAACAGTCTTGCTGAGCTGTCTATGTTCTTTTCAAGTTGAAATACTTTATCTTCATTGTCTGATGTTCTGTCTTCTAAGTGTTCTACTCTGCTGGTAGTATTCTCAATTGAGTTTTTAAGTTGGCTTATTGCTTCCTGCATTTCTAGGATTTCTGTTTGTTTGTTTTTTATAACCTCTATTTCCCTGTATAGTTGATCTTTTGCTTCTTGGATTTGTTTATGTAATTCATTGTTGAAGTGATCTTTCATTGTCTGATTTTGCTGTCTGATGTCTTCCTTGAGACTCCAGATCATCTGAAGCATGTATATCCTGAATTCTTTATCTGACATTCCATCAGCTGCAGCTATTACCTCTTCTAAAGTTGAGTTGACCTGCAATGCTTGTGGTCCTTTCTTTCCTTGTCTCTTCATACTGTTCGCGTTCCTTTCTTCTTGGTGAAACTGTTGTGCTATTGAATTTTCCCCCTATATATTTATATTGGTCTTGTATAGTTGCAAAGTCTCCCTCGCAGGCACGGGCGGCGGCTCTGCCCCTCCGCCAATTGGGGCAATGTGCCTACCACGCCGGCAGGCCGCTGGGCCTGCTCTGCCAGTCGGTAGCAGGTCCGCCGTCCTTGCAGGCGCAGGCGGCGGCTCTGTCCCTCTGCGGGCCGCTAGGCTTGTTCTGTCGGTGGTCGCCGTTCTGCCTACTTTGCAGGCGCAGGCAGCGGCACTGCCCCTCTGCAGGCCTCTGGGGCTGTACTGCCAGTGGGTCGCAGGTCCGCCTACTTTGCAGGCGTGGGGGGGGGGCGGCTCTACCCTTCCTCAGGCCACTGGGCCTGTTCTGTCTCTCGGTTGCAGGTCTGACCTGTTCTGATGGTGGTCTCAGTTCCGATTACCTTGCAGGCGCGGGGGGGAGGGGGCGGCTCTGCCTCTCAGCAGGCCGCTGCTCCTCTTCTGCCGGTGGGTCGCAGGCCCGCCTACCTTGCAGGAGTGATTGGAAGCTCTGTCCCGCCGCGGGCCACTGGGCCTTTTCTGTCTGTGGTCACCCTTCCCCTACCTGGCAGGCGAGGGGGGTGGGGGGCGGC